CCCTGTTATCCCAGCTCATCAGGACCAGTACTTGCACTTTTCTTGACACGCATTCAATTCTTCGGTGTCGCATGAACATCAGAGCACATTATACCATTGTGAGACATTTTTGCCCATCTCCACCCCTAAATCTTCCTCTTGCACGGCGTGCCCTCGCTCTAATCAGAAACTTCTCCAAAAAAAGAAAGCCGTCGAGCCAGGGAAAGAGGTAGACACTTTGGATCCATCACAAGACTTCAGCAGGTGAACGGACAAAGCGAGCGAGTCATATGAAAGTCTCAAAAAGGTCATAGACACGCCGACAATAAGTATAGGTTAGTTATTCACGAAAAGACTCACCTGACAATGGTGGCTAGGGTATCAGTTGTGTTTCCGATTGGAAGTGTCGGATGAGATCGTACGAATTCTAACGTTGCAGAGCTCAGGCTTGACAACATTGGAGTAGGAGCAGCAAGAAATAGAGATATGGAATTTGCAAGCTCTATCTCTCTGAACATACTCGTAATGAGAAAAGTAGATGTGAAAATACAGCAAATGCTTACGATGCGTTGTTGTCAAGCAGCCCCAACCCAATTCCTCGTCGATAGTGACTGAAGTCGTTCTGTAGAGCAGGAGTGCACATCTGAAATAGGAATGTGCATGAAGTTGGTGATCCTTTCATTATTCTAGAGAAACAACATTGAAAAAGACAAAATTAGTAAGTACTAGATTTAATCACCACCCTTTGAAGTGAACAAGCGGCAAGAAAACGTCTGGATATTACAACATCAAAGCATCCGCCCGTGCTATTTGTGGAGGTTTTCACTAGAATTCAGAACGTCCCAGAGAACCTTCAAACTCTGAGACTTCCAACTACGGGACAGCATCATTTGGCGTTGGGAGAATCCCATGAAGAGTATGCGTTGCTTTATCAATTTATCTATTTGTCGGCACATAGCGTAGCGTGAACATCGACAGCGAAAACACAAAACATTTGTTGAAACCAGAAGTCTGCACCCCCACCTTAACGGCAGTTTCTCGAAAAAAAGGAAGAAGTGGTGCGAATTGGGAAAACAGGAAAATTTAGGAATAGAGACGGTAGGATAGAGAAGACTGTCGTAGCAGATGAAGAAGTTTTGGGGAGAGAGTCGTACTGACATCGCCATTTCACACATCACGATGCTGTACCCTGCCTCCAATATGGCAGTTTCAAAAACGATATAACAGAAGTAAGTTATCCATTTTTGATATCCTTTCGAGCCGTGTTCATACTTCGCAACACTGACGATTTGCAGAAACCGTCGAAAGGAAAGGTTGTGTATCGACCTGGAGAATGGCAAAATCTGCTAAAAAACTAAATATCTGTCAATTGATCGCCAAGGTGGAGCCATTCAACTGGAGACTTGGAGTAGTAGGATTTCCGTTTTTCCAGATCGATACATATCCATTCTCCCGGTGGATTTGCGGATTTTTCGATTCCCCCATTCTCCAATGTCGCACGGTATGAACGCTTTTCTAAAGTGCCTGCTTCTGGTGCCAGTGATTGCCTGTGATGGAGCTTCACCGAAAAATGCTGCATATTTACAATGTGGAACTCAGCATTATGAGTAAAGAAAGCAAGCACAATCTGACAAAAATCAAGTGAATATTTGAAGGACTGGCGAAATCGGTGGAGGGATAGAGAGACAACATTTAGACGCTGGTGAAGCTCTGCATGTCTCACTTTATGACAAGAACGTGTTCTTGTTTGCTTTGTTAATAATTACTTCACTTAACGTACTCAGAAGAATTCAGGCAATTTAGTAAAATTACCTATACTGTATTATTTAGCAGCTTGTATAGATAATTGCTGTCCTTAGAATGTACAGCAACAAGTTCAGATGTTCAGAAGACTCCTCCGATAAGTTTGACCTGTTCCTAGCCGGCACTAATAGCCTGCATTATACCAAAGCACAAACCTATAATCGTCCTCTTACAGACGCACGAAAACAACTTGGAACTGCAATACAAGGGTCTGATCCGATTCGTCAGTGACTGTCAAACAAAACAACTTTAGAGGTAAAAAAATCACGAAAATATCCGAACGCACCTTTACAGCGTCAAAATCCAGAACAAAGTCAACTAGACGGGCTAACTGTCGAGCTAACGACTGTTTTCTGTCCAGTTGCTCTTCGGGTGGAAGCGGCCCAGAACAAAGATCCCACAATAATTCCGGCACCAGCTGAAGAGCTAATATAAAGTCGAACTATTCATATCACTTTACAAATATAAAACTGTCCTCATTACTGCAGCACATTGGTCAACAACACTTTAGATTTCACTCGTAGACTACCCCAGTTCAACGATTTCCCAAAGTAAAATTGATATCAGAGAGTGAATTCATTGAGACAGAGTGAGATTTCAGAACTGCTGATGTTGGGAGAAACGATGGTCCTCTATATCCGCTTAGACGACCAGCGCCAACTATCTCTAAAGGCAGTTGGCACGATAAATTGCTATACAGATGTAGGATTTATACGACTGGCTTAACAGAATTCCGTGACCTCGGACAGGCGCTCCGTGGCGCCTTTTCCAAGGAGGGTACCCCTATAACGCCCTATCGAGCAACAACATTCCGTCCCAAACGCCTTCCTCGCCCGCCCGCCCACAAACGGACGACCGTTCCTGACGCTCGTATTCATTCATTTGCTGAGCAAATTATGAAGCGAAGGGATTGGTATGAAGCGGCCGTGATGCTGCATGCATACATGGGTACACATATGCAGCCGTATCTAGCGGTGATTGGCAAGATGCGTACGGGAAACTCGTCCGAAATCGATTTTCAAGTCACTGAGAACGGAGGCTTTTTCTTCGCCGGATTTTGACCGTTTCACTCCGTTCTTTCGCCATTTCCCCACTACATAGCGCCCTACTAGCATTTTAGGCCGAGTGGGAAACCATCGTGCCAACTGCCTTTAATGAAACCCGCCGTTAGGTAATCCATCCTCACAAGCTTACATACTGGATTGACTCGGGGGAACTGAAGCGTCTTCTTCACTGATGACACCCCACCTTAACATGACAGACATGCGCCAATTTAGAGCAAACCTTTTCGATCCTCAGTGAAAGCTCGAAATAGCATCGTATCCGTGCAACAAAATCGGCAACCACACTCAAAGCCAAATCTCTCAAAGCAAGATCATGCGGATTCTGCAGAGATTGCCGAACTTCGTCAGTTGCGCCTTAATGACATGTTTGAGTTCATAACCTCATAAATCGGATAAGCGGCCTCTCTTGAATCCGACCGTTATTTTCGGAAATTCTTATATTTCCAAGTCGTTTCCAAGTTTTCCAAGTCGTTTCCAAGTTGTCTCAGAATTAAAGTTACTCCATTAGAATATTACACACTTTAGAGGGTGCAGGAAAAGTGATGCAAGAAGTCATCAAATAAAAGAAGAATACCATTGCGGTCGTATGAAATGGTAAAAAAACAGGACACTCCATTAGAATATTATACATACTTCAGAGGGTGCAGAAACTGATGCAAGAATGGATAACCGATGTTTTGGGAAAGCAACAAAAAGTGTTTAGTTAACAGGATATACCAGCAGCAACTTCAATTCGACTGAACTTGAAGACAATGACGAGATTGAAGCTAATTTGAATTGATTTCAACGTTGTTCTCTTTGCCTTATACGACAAGAAAAGAGAGGGAACATCAAATAAACAGAAGACACATTGTCGTATGAAATGGTAAAAAAGGACACTTCGCAAGTTACTTAACCTTAAGCGACGGCAGGGGTATTTGGTCGCTGGATGGGGGAGGTCATATTTGCCTTTTTTTTTTTTTTTTTTTTTTTTTTTTTTTTTTTTTTTTTTTTTTTTTTTTTTTTTTTTTTTTTTTTTTTTTTTTTTTTTTTTTTTTTTTTTTTTTTTTTTTTTTTTTTTTTTTTTTTTTTTTTTTTTTTTTTTTTTTTTTTTTTTTTTTTTTTTTTTTTTTTTTTTTTTTTTTTTTTTTTTTTTTTTTTTTTTTTTTTTTTTTTTTTTTTTTTTTTTTTTTTTTTTTTTTTTTTTTTTTTTTTTTTTTTTAATATTCACTTTTTTCGTGTTTCACCACCCTACACCAGGGCACATCGTCGTTGGGGAATCCCCAATAGTAGTTGATTTTTCTCGCTTCACGGACGTTGTAAAGGGGTCGTACTTGGTCACTTGTTGGAGAGGGGGGAGGGTCGTATTTACGTTTTGGCGTTGTAGGAGTGGTGGTTGACTTTTGGTGATTTTCCTGTTTCATGCGTACTATTTGCCCCCCCCCCTGTACGAGCCCCTCCCACTTTTTTTTGGGGGGGGGAGGTAGGGGCCGTACGAACCTCCCCCCGCGCCGCCCAAAAAAAGGGGGGGTCGTACAGAACTTCGAATAAACGCCCCCAACCAATGATGTGCCCTGCCCCACACCCCTTGTATGCGCCCGACGGCAGCTTTATGGGGAAAAACTGGAGAACTACTGAGGAAAAAACCCGCGAAGGGGATAAGAAGTTGGGAGCATTCAGAATGATGGTGGATAGGATGGGGAAGAGGTCGTACGAGGTGGAGCTCTGGGGGGGGGCGTATTTGCAAAATTTCCCCAACGGCAAGATGTGCCCAAGGAAACAAATCAAGAGAAGACATCCGTATCGTGTTACACAATGTTTTTGTTATTGACGGTTCATCCCTCAGGGCATAAATTACGAACGCTCACCTTTTCCATAGCATTTCACATCAGCAAGCACTTCTGTACACTGGTTTAGTATCTTTTCACAGAGGTCAAACAGATAGCGTTCTTCCTCACGCGGAGAAGCATTCTCGAAGTCCAAAAACAACTGCAAAACAAACAAAATGAAAGCATGCAAAAGTTCTTTTGTTTGTGGACCCAACAGGCGAGCAAGAAAAAGTACGAAAAAGAAGAATGATGGAAAACAAACAAGCAATAATAAAAACAAATAATAAAACGCCGTTTTCACCTCGATATATTCGATGCTGCCTTGAGATCCGTCACAGTGCGATCGTAGAATAGAACGCACCACTTCGCCACATGATCCTCCAGTCATTTCAGGTTAGAAATTTATTAGCACGATAATATAAGTGTTTAATGATTCATGAGGAATTCCTGGAAAAGAAACAGGAAATAGAAAACAAAAGGTGCGATTGTTCGCATTTAAACGGCATAAAAAGTATCTTCAATTGTGGAACACGTTGCGATAGAATGCCCAAAAGTAGGCCGTACGTCTGAAAAAAATAGAAAAACAAAGGACTTTTCGGCTAAATAGTAGGTGACATGCAGTGACGCCATACAACAACTGACATCACTAAACTGACCTGTCTCGTACCTCTCATTCCATAATATGTGTTCATGCAATCTCTTGCCTATGCACTCTGCATGTCTGACTCTTGCAGAGGTAGAGATGGAGAGGGCCGATGTGTACGAGTTGCCTGCGGGCGTTGTTGGTAGTCAAAAATAACTCCCAGCTGACATCCCTGCTCGGAGATGGCAGAAGTTTTTACGGAAAACTATGCTGGTCGTCCAGTCAGGAAAGTGTCCTGCCAATCTGTCGACCGACTCCCAAGGGTTAGCTACACAACGACGACTCCTTCACCACATGCTTACGGACTTCTCAACACGTTTCTGATCTATCTTGGTTCGATCAAGCCTACCCTAGTGGACATATTTTTACCACAAGGTACACTTTGGATTTTTTCGGCGATATTCCGTTAAAGTGGAGTGTTCTTATTGCAGAGCGCTCGAATCCCACCCAGGGCATCTGAAACAGCAGAGGTCGCTGCTAGGAGAATCCCATTCAGAAAGGGTAGCGGGGGAAGGGAGGGGAAGTAGCTGTGTTGGTGTTGGGAGATATTTTCGATTACTCGGGAACGTTTGTTTCATGGGTACTATTACACCCTGCCCTATTCCTCATTTCTGCCAAATTCCTTGGTTCTTCAAATCGAGACGTATACAGTTTCGTCATTTCTTTGAAGTCATCATGTATGAGTGCGGCCTTATATAGTACGGTCTCGTTCGCTGCGGATGAAGGGGTGTATTTGGCGCGGCGCCTGATCCATTCTAGACCAGTTGTTGGAGCGAGTAAGCGACAAGAATTAGTGAAAAACGATTGATATGGGCCACATGACACAGTCTTGTCACTCGCTCGCTTTAACAGTTGTTGGAAAACGGGTTTGGCACAGCGCCAGGCCCATCGCGCTTGACACGCTTCTTCACCTGCAGGAAAGGCTGTAGTCCAGTCCGCAACAACACAAATAATACCACTTCCGCATATCAAGCTCCGCCCAGGGGGGTCACCCTCCACCCTTGTCCCAAAACCGGCAGGGGAGGGGGTCTTATTTACGGCCCTTCCAATGATTTTTTGCTTTTTTTTCCTCACTGATATTCAGTTACGCATACCTTTCTGTTTCGGAAGCATATCACCCACTATTTGCAATCGCGGACTGTGTCTTTAACTACAGCTACCAAACATGCCGATGCGGCTTCATAAAAACCAATTGAGCAGGCATGGGTGAGACCCTAGGACGACCACGGGCTAGATGGCTGTGTGTATCTCGACTTATTGTGCTCCCAATAAAGGGCGTTAGCGCACTTGATTACGACCGCCAATCAAAAGCGTAGCGTAAACGAATTTCGCGCTAATTTGCCTTTGGACATCGGTGGGAACGCTTCCGTAGTGCTCTCGCTGGAGCATGCTCCCTTCCTTATAGAAGAAATTGTGTATCATGCTTCTTCGGCGTAACATGCAACAAAATATGGTGTGAATTCTGCGTGCCTACTGGGGCACAGATTGCGATTGCTTGTTGTAATATTTTTTGTGGAAAAACTTAGCACCTCGTTCTTTTAATGGGGAACATGTGTTGAGGGGGAGAACAAGCCAGGATCAGTGCTAAAGACGAGATAATTACGTTTCTAACGTAACAAACAAGTGGCGATCCTGTGAAAATCTGAAAGCCGCGTGAGCAGGCCCCCACACTTGACAGGCATGGTGCAGCAGCGGGATGGGTAAAGTGGCGGTGTCAGCATGAATCTCTACGGAACTCCTCCTCCGATACGACCAATTAGAAGAAGAAATAGACATAGCTAGAAAAAAATACTACAAAACAACGGTTTGTTACGTCCCTTACCTCCAAACCATAATTCACGGCACGTCGCACGTTGAAGATCATAAGCGGAAGGGGTCGTATTTGATCGCTGTATGTGGGGGGGAGCCTAGTTGGGCTTTTCCCCGTTAAATGCGCTATCTTCGGAAAAAAAGGTAGGAAGTTGATAGAATTGCGAGAATTTAGGAAGGGAGTAGGTAAGCTGGGGGATGGAAAGTGGAGGTCGTATCGGAAATTCTGAGGGAACACGTGTTCTGGAAGATTTTTTCCCAACGGCAGGACGTGCCCTGGGCACGACCTCCTTCACAATCTAACTACCTTTTTACTAAAGTTTCCCAAAACTTTGCCGTCGAGCGCATAGAGGAAGGAAGAACCCTTTCACCAACTTCCAGAAATAGCAGTTTCACCACTCCATCAAC